ACACCCCACCCCACCCCCACGGCGGCGCGACCTTGGCTCGTCCAGTTGAGACGTTCGACGCATTGCCATCTGCTTGGCCACGTGAATGTCCTGAACGCACGGCGGGAATGCACCGCTGCAGTTCCGCGCTAACACTCAGGGGCAGCTGGGCGCCAATCCTCGTCGCACTCGCCCGGGTCAAACGCGGCCCTCGGTAGCCGCGTGCGATCTCCAACTCGCGCGGCTGACATATTATGAATTCCGTTGACGGTCTCACGTAAGTATCGGTTTTTGCCGCTGCTCGACGGCGGGTCGACGAGGGGCCTTCCCGCTTGTTCAGCAAGTAATTCTGGGACGAGCGGTGGATCTGCGCGGCGTCGAGGAAGACGCCGGAGGTTCGCGGGGCCTGGGCGCGCGAAGACAGCATGCACACACGGCGCGCGATCGCTCACAGTAGGGCTCGGCGCCCAGGCGCACGGCGGAGTCCAATCATCTGGCGAGATCGGCAGGCCCTGCTGACGCAGCGCCCCCGCGGCAGCTTGCGCCGCTGCCTGATGTTGCAGGTGCATGCGCTGACGCGCACGCATCTGGTCGCGCGACTCGGACCCTCGAAATATCTATCGGAATCGGTATCTGACTTCTTCGGCATGTACCCTGAACACCCAATATCGGGGGCGTTCGCGTCGAAGTCGAATTTCACCGGCTCGGTCCCGGTCGCATCTCCAGCAACCGCAGCCGCCGAGGGCGCGCGCGACGGTCGCTGGCTGACACGAGGTGCATTCGTAGGTTCGGCGGCCTGCACTGCCAGCGGCTGCCCATCGACTTGGATTTGCTCGTTCTAGAGGGCTCGGGCGCCCAGCGTTCCACGGGTCTCGCTGCGTCAGAAGGTCGCGCGGCTCTCATGTGCTCGATGCGACGACGACAAAGATGCCGAGAAATATCCTCCTTGCGGCGGTGGAACGAGCTCGCGGGAGTCGATCGTGAAGCTGTCTGCACTGCCGTTGTCGCGGCTTCGCGCTGGAGACCGTCTCCTTGCACGCGGCGTCGGCCCAGGCGGCGGCGGCGGACATATGTCGCCGTTGACGGCCGCCCAGCTCGCGGCGCTGCTCCAGGCGGACCTTGCGCCAGTCGCCCCAGAGGCGCGGCGCGGGGCCGCCAGCGACGCAAGATAGCAAATTCCTCCTTTTATAAGCTCCCCCCCGTCAATTGCACGTTGCCGAACGGGCCTGCTGGCCAGGCGAGCGCTGGGACACTGCTGATTGAACCGCGCCATCATTTGTTCCAGATCCACTACTTCGCACGAATATTTAGCCGGCACCACGCCGTCTCTGCCAGCCGATGGCACCACTTGTCGTTGAAGCGATACTTGCACGCCGTCCTTGAGCATTGAGCATCTCCTGAAAGACGATGGAAGGCGCGACCCTGGATGATGCTCCGAATCCACTCCTGATGCTGCCATAGACCGGCTGGCAGCGGGCGCCGCGGGCCCTTTGGCGGCCACCTGCGCCGCGGCCACCGCCGCGACGGTCGCGCGAGAGACCCCCGGCGGCACCATGGGAAATACTCCGGAGGGGCCGCTTGGAGGCCCCGCTCGCCACGGCACGGGGGGAATCGTCATCGCCCATGTTCTCAAATATCATTTCTCCATGAACCCTCGCGGGATCTCGGCGGGCGAGCGCACCCCCCCCAATCCTTGCACCACCTGATCTGGCATCTGTCACTCCAGCCGCCGTTGTCCTCAAGGTGTCGTTTGATACCATCTGCAGGTCGGCCCTTGTCCTGGCCCATGGGCGCGCATTCGGCATTCGAGGACGCGGGCCTGCCGATCCGCCGCGAAGTCAGAAGCCACGCGATGACGCGACGGCATCGGTCCTTCCCAACTCCACCCCTCAATCGGGCCCCACGCTTGCAGTCTCAACTCTCGCAGACTGCGGTTGCCCATGCTGCCCCGAAGAAGTATCCAGGAGAGAAATTTGCACATGCGCCCGCCGTCGGATTCAGGTCCTATCCCGGTATCCCTAAGGGGGTGCTCCACGCAGCCTTCGTCGGGACCTGGATCGCACGCGTCATCGCAGATGCACGCGAACTCGGGCGCCTGGCATTCATCTGCTTGGAATGCATCCGCGAATTCGCCCCCGGGATTCGCCTCCCCTTCGGGTTCTGAGCTGGATGCGGTTAGGCGCCCCCGAGCACCTCCTTGGCCACGGCGTTCGGCTTCTCGGGGTTCTCGAACGGCCTTCTGTAGATTGTCATATGCTTCTCCACCCCCAGAATAACACGCGGGTCGAGGGGCGCGCTTGATCCTCCAGCCCGGCGCAAGCGGCGCGTCTGGCACGCGACATGAGCGGCAAGATTTGGACGGAAAATTCGTACGCATGTTGATTTTCAAACGAGTGGCCTTCGCCGCTGCCATGGGCCCACCCTTCCCGCTTTGGAGCTGGTCTAATTTGCGGCGTGGGCTCCACATTCTGCTCCCCCTTGGCCATGACGAAGCTCTGAACGCGTTGTCCTGGGACGGTCCCGCAACTAACCCAGCGTCATTGCTCGGCGGTGCTTGACATTGCATGGCATTGCTTGGTACTGTTTGGCAGTGCTAGACATTGCTGAGCATTGCCTGCATTGCTTGGCGTTGCTTGGCACTGTTCGGCACTGTTTGGCATGGCTTGGCATTGCTTGGGGGTGCTTGGCATTGTTTTGCATTCCTTGGTATTGCTTGGCATTGCTCGAAATTGCTTGGCATTGCTCGGCATTGCTTGGCATTGGCTGGGTGTGATCGGCATTGCTTGGAATTGATTGGCAATGCTTGGCATTGCGTGGCATTGTTTGGCATTGCGTTGCATTGCTTGTCAGTGCTTGGCATTGGTTGGCTTTGCTTGGCCGTGCTTGGCATTGCTTCGGGTTGCTTGGCATGGCTTGGCATGAGTTGCCATGATTTGACATATCTTGGCATTGCTTGGCATTTCTTGGCATTGCTTGGCATGCCTTGGTGCGTTGCTTAGCATTGCTTGGCGTTGCTTGGCATTGCTTGGTGTTGTTTGGCATTGCTTGGCATTGCTAGGCACTGTTTTGCATTCCGTGGCACTGCTTGGCGGTGCTTGGCATTCCTTGGCGGTGCTTGGCACTGCTTGGCCTTGCGTGGCGTTGCTTGGCGGTGCTCTGCACTGCTTGGCATTGATTGGTGTTGCTTGGCACTGATTGGCATTGATTAGCAGTGCTTGATAATGCTTTACGCCACTTGGCACTGCTTGGCCTTGAGTGGCGTTGCTTAGCATTGCTTCGCATTGTTTGGTGTTGCGTGGCATTGCGTGGCATTGCTTGGCGCTGCTTGGCATTGAGAGAACCCCTGGACAACCCCGGGCAGCCCCGGGCAAACCCGGGCAAGGCCGGGGGCCGCCCGGGCAACCCCGGGCAACCCCGAGCAACCCCGGGCAACCCAAGGAACGCTAGGCAACAGGGCAACGGAGCAGCCCGGGGATCGCCGAGGGTCGTGAGGGATCGCCGAGGGTCGTCTCGCATAGACGCCGTCGCACCCGCCAGGCTTCTTTCACAAGCAGGTAAGAACCCCTTAAGCAAAGCCTGTTTTGGAAAGAAGTAAACCGAAACGGCGATGGAGGGAAAAAGGAATGCAGGAGGAAGAAGAAAAGAGGAGGTCGAAGTGATCCTGGTCTCATGTCCGTCGGGTTTCAGCGGTGGTGGCCATGGACCAGAGGGCCCCGCCAGAAGGATCCCGCCCTTGCGCTCTACTCCACTGCTCCCCCTCAGCGTCGATTGACAATCAGTTCATTTCAATAGTTCTACTTCGGCAACTTACGAAGGCGAAACACCAGGTACGAGAGCGGAAGTACGTGTGCGTGTGCGTGCATGCGTCAGCGCACGCATGAGAACACGCACGTACCTTCCGAAACCCCTCGGGGAAGATCCCCTAGCTCCAGCCTGGCACTTTCGAGCTTGCGACGCCAGGGTGCCGCAGCAGCAGGCGGGAGAACGAAGGACGCACAAGCACAACGAGCCACCGAGCCAAATCCCTTAGAGGCAAGTAACATTGACAAACCGCATCGATCTAAGATAGCCTCGAGGGGGCTTCGGAAAGCCCGAAGATGGCCCCAGAGGGCCCCAAGGCCATCCCAAAAAAAAAAAAAAATGATGGCCCGAGAACCTCAAGACGGCCGAGGACCGTTCCGGCAAAACTCCAAGACGAACCCGAAATCTGACGAGTCTCTTCGAGAGAGAGCTCGATAGGACCATCGCGTCAAAGAAGGCCCCAAGACTCCCCAAAGGGCCCCAAGAGGCTCCCAGGGGGAGCCCAAAAAGGCCGCAGAGGTTCCTCAAGAAACCTTCGAGAAACCCGCGCGTAGCAACGCAACAACCATGCACCATGCAACGTCACGGCCATGCCAGGCTACGGCATCGTAGCGCTGCTTCCCACACGGACTCAGGAGGGTTCGACCGAGCCTATTCGGGAGAGCTTGGTAGAACCATTCTGCATAATGCTGCGCTGGCACGGTAACGGATCTGCCGCGGAAAGATGGCACAACTCTATCAGGGCGTTGTTCCAACATGACAGGACATGTACGAGTGTACAACTTCTCAAGCACGGCGCACAATCCGATCATTACAGCCCTGCCGCGCGCGCACACTTCAGCAGCCGCCAAGGGCGATGTACAAAGCCTTCTAGAGAGAGGCTGTCCTCTTGCTCCAACTACTGCGCCACCCTCCTCCACCTCCGTTCCCACAACCTCCCCCAGAGCTGCGATTCAGCATGCAGTAGAAGCCATGCAGGTGTGATTACTTCCCCGTATTCAGCCAGACTGAATGCCTCCTCAATGTGTAGGAGGTCACAAGAAAGGCGGTGGACTCGTGTACAGATTCAAGAAAATTATGCAGGACTCATGGAATACATAGAACTGCCTCCCAGCCTGGGTTTCAAAAAAAACGAGCCCGAGAGGGCGACTGCCGCGATCTGCCGACGGGTAGTAGGCCCCCGAGCCGGCAAGCCGACAGCGATGCAAAAATGAAAACGATCAGAAGTTCTCGAAACCGCCCATCCCCTGCCATCGCTTCATGGCGGCATCGAACTGGTCAACCCCGTCCAGGCCGGTCCACTGCTCCGCCACCAGGATCCCGATGACTGCGAACATCGAGAAGCGGCCGTTGTTGAGCTCGCGATTGCGGAGCTCGTCGTCGAACTGGACGCCTCCGAAGGTGGTCGTCCACCCTGCGGGGTCGCCGAAGTCGCCGGGAGCCCTCGACTCGCTCTCGGTCCAGAACTTCAGCTCGTAGAACCCCGCCGTCAGGAAGAGGATGCCGAAGGCCTGGGCGGCCGCCGGCTCCTTGGAGGCCTCCCAGAGGAGGGTCAGGGTAGCCAGGGTCGGAGGAGATCGCGCCGCATCGTCGATGCATCGCCGATGCGTCGGGGGTACATCGGCGACGTCGGCGTGGAGAGAACTGGGCTCCGCATCGAGGCGCATCGCGGATGCATCGGCGACGTGGCGCGATCCTCCGACACCATCTACTCGGACCTCATCTGGGAGACCTAGACTCCTGCAGGGCCGCCAGGCCGGAGGGGGTCTCCGGGCTGACCCACGGGAACTTGTTGCCGTGGGCCGCGGTGAGGCCGATGGCCGCCATCATGGCCACGCGGGCGTGCTTGATCTCGGCCGTGCGGTACTTGCGGAAGGTGGCCTCGTCCGTGCACAGGCCCGCAGGGTCCCAGAAGCCGAGCGGCGGGAGCGCCCCCACCTGCTTCGCGGGGTCGAATGGGCCCGGGCCGAAGGGCTCGTAGCTGGTGGCCAGGCCAGGCGCCGTCTTCCCCTGCCTGAGCACGCCCGCGCCCGCGGCCGCGCCCGAGGCCGCCATGGCGCCCGCCGCCTTCGCGGAGCCCGCCGCCACCGCGCCCTTGGCCGCGGCGGCCGCGGCGGCGGCGGCGGCGACGGAGACGGGCTCGGCGCGGAGCGGGGAGTCCGTGTAGAGCGCCCAGTCACCCCATGCAGCGCCGGTCAGGCCGTCCTGGAAGAACATGCCGATGATCGCCATCATGGCCAGGCGACCGTTCGCAATCTCGGCGTTGAGCTTCTTCTGCTTCGTCTCGGGGTCGGTCGAGGTGATCGCCCTCCACCCGTAGTTTCCTGGCTCGCTGCCCCGTTTGAAGGCGCCGAAACCGAAGTTGACCTCCACCAGCCCGCAAAAGATGACCCACTGGCAGATGCCAGCTCCCGGCACCTTTGCGAGCGCGCCAAGGCCGCTTGGCACGTCCGAGAACTTCAGACCGGTGGACGGCGAGAGGTAGCCAGCGAACTTGAAATACTCGGGGGTGATGTAGCCCATCGTCGCGAGCATCGACACCCGTCCGTGCTTCAGCTCGGTCTCCCGGCGCCGCTTGAAGGAGTCGGCATCGCCGTCGGCGCTCAGGCCAAGGGGATCCCAGTAGCCCACAGGGGCCTGCACGCCCAGCTCGCTCTCGAACGCGCGCAACGGAGACCCCGTGTAGAGCGCCCAGTCGCCCCAGGCAGAGCCGGTCAAGCCGTCCTGGAAAAACATTCCGATGATCGCCATCATGGCCAGGCGGCCGTTGGCGATCTCGGCCGCCAACTTCTTCTGCTTCTCCGCGGCGTCGCTGGACGTCAGCACCTTGAAGCCGAAGTCGCCGGCTGCAGCAGCGGTGCCGGCGGACTGGTCCTGGGACAGCTCGCAGAACGCACCGTACGCCACGATCTGCGCCCAGCCCGCCGCGGGAACCTTGGAGATTGCACCGAGCCCGTTCGGGATGTCCGCGAACTTCAGGCCCGCGGACGGCGACAGGTACCCTGGCAGCTTGCCAGTGATCTCTGGGGTGATGTAGCCCATGGTCGCCAGCATTGACACGCGCCCGTGCTTCAGCTCGGTCTGGCGCCGGCGGGCGAAATTCTCCGTGCTACCGTCCGCCGTGAAGCCAGCGGGGTCCCAGAAGCCCACCGGGTCCTGCACGCCCAGCTCGCTCTCGAACGCGCGCAACGGAGAGTCGGTGTAGAGCTCCCAGTCTCCCCATGCAGAGCCGGTCAAGCCATCCTGATAGAACATGCCTATGATCGCCATCATCGCCAGCCTTCCATTCGCGATCTCCGCATTCAGCTTGCGGGATTTGAGCTCCCCAGCAGGCAAAGTACTGCCGTTGGGCACGCCCAGCACGCCACCGTTCTCATAGTCACCGGGGGCCCTCGATGGGTCGTACACGAACAGGCCCTTCTCGAGCAGGCCACAGAACAGGAAGATCTGGACCCATCCCGCGCCTGGAATCTTGGAGAGTGCTGCGAGACCATTGGGGATGTCCGCAAACTTGAGGCCCTTGGACGGGGAGCAATACCCCGGCCACTTGAAGTACTCAGGGGTGATGTAGCCCATACACGCCCACATGGACACGCGCCCGTGCTTGATCTCAGTGACGCGGCGCCTCTTGAAGGCCTCAGTATCGCCGTCCTTGCTCAGGCCGGCCGGGTCCCAATAACCGAATGGGGCCTGCACGCCCAACTCGCTCTCGAACGCGCGCAACGGAGACCCCGTGTAGAGTGCCCAGTCGCCCCAGGCGGAGCCGGTCAAGCCGTCCTGGAAAAACATTCCGATGATCGCCATCATGGCCAGACGGCCGTTGGCGATCTCAGCCGCCAACTTCTTCTGCTTCTCTGCTGCGTCGCTGGACGTCAGCACCTTGAAGCCGAAGTCACCCGCCGCAGCAGCGGTGCCAGCGGACTGGTCCTGGGACAGCTCGCAGAACGCACCGTACGCCACGATCTGCGCCCAGCCCGCCGCGGGAACCTTGGGAGATCGCCGCACCGAGCCCATTCGGGATGTCCCGCGAACTCAGGCCCTCGGACGGCGACAGGTACCCTGCGCGCCTTTGCCACTGAAACAAAGAGGATGTAGCCCGTGGTTCGCCAAACCGACACGCGCCCGTGCTTCAGCTCCGTCTGGCGCCGGCGGGCGAAATTCTCCGTGCTACCGTCCGCCGTGAAGCCAGCGGGGTCCCAGAAGCCAACCGGGTCCTGCACGCCCAGCTCGCTCTCGAACGCGCGCAACGGAGACCCCGTGTAGATCGCCCAGTCGCCCCAGGCGGAGCCAGTCAAGCCGTCCTGGAAAAACATTCCGATGATCGCCATCATGGCCAGACGGCCGTTGGCGATCTCAGCCGCCAACTTCTTCTGCTTCTCTGCGGCGTCGCTGGACGTCAGCACCTTGAAGCCGAAGTCACCCGCCGCAGCAGCGGTGCCAGCGGACTGGTCCTGGGACAGCTCGCAGAACGCACCGTACGCCACGATCTGCGCCCAGCCCGCCGCGGGAACCTTGGAGATCGCACCGAGCCCGTTCGGGATGTCCGCGAACTTCAGGCCCGCGGACGGCGACAGGTACCCTGGCAGCTTGCCCGTACTCTCTGGGTGATGTACAAACGGAAGGCCCACTCAAAGGTCGCCAGCATGGACAGGACAACGCGCCCGTCTTCAGCTCGGTCTGGCGCCGGCGGGCGAAATCTCCGTTTTCCCCCTGAGGTCTCTGAGCAGTCGCGTGGTCCCCCAGAAGCCCACCGGGTCCTCTGCACGCCCAGCTCGCTCTCGAAAGCGCGCAACGGAGAGCCCGGTGTAGAGCTCCCAGTTCTCCCCCATAGCAGAGCCGGTCAAGCCTCCTGATAGAAACATCCTAGATCGCCAATCATCGCCAGCCTCATTCGCCGATCTCCGCTTCAGCTTGCGGGATTTGAAGCCCCCAGCAGGCAAAGTACTGCCGTTCGGCACGCCCAGCCACGCCACGTTTCATAGTCACCGGGGGCCCTCGATGGGTCGTACACGAACAGGCCCTTCTCGAGCAGGCCACAGAACAGGAAGATCTGGACCCATCCCGCGCCTGGAATCTTGGAGAGTGCTGCGAGACCATTGGGGATGTCCGCAAACTTGAGGCCCTTGGACGGGGAGCAATACCCCGGCCACTTGAAGTACTCTGGGGTGATGTAGCCCATACACGCCCACATGGACACGCGCCCGTGCTTGATCTCAGTGACGCGGCGCCTCTTGAAGGCCTCAGTATCGCCGTCCTTGCTCAGGCCGGCCGGGTCCCAATAACCGAATGGGGCCTGCACGCCCAGCTCGCTCTCGAACGCGCGCAACGGAGACCCCGTGTAGAGCGCCCAGTCGCCCCAGGCGGAGCCGGTCAGGCCGTCCTGGAAAAACATTCCGATGATCGCCATCATGGCCAGACGGCCGTTGGCGATCTCGGCCGCCAACTTCTTCTGCTTCTCCGCGGCATCGCTGGACGTCAGCACCTTGAAGCCGAAGTCACCCGCCGCGGCAGCGGTGCCAGCGGACTGGTCCTGGGACAGCTCGCAGAACGCACCGTACGCCACGATCTGCGCCCAGCCCGCCGCGGGAACCTTGGAGATCGCACCGAGCCCGTTCGGGATGTCCGCGAACTTCAGGCCCGCGGACGGCGACAGGTACCCTGGCAGCTTGCCGGTGATCTCTGGGGTGATGTAACCCATGGTCGCCAGCATTGACACGCGCCCGTGCTTCAGCTCCGTCTGGCGCCGGCGGGCGAAATTCTCCGTGCTACCGTCCGCCGTGAAGCCAGCGGGGTCCCAGAAGCCAACCGGGTCCTGCACGCCCAGCTCGCTCTCGAACGCGCGCAACGGAGACCCCGTGTAGAGCGCCCAGTCGCCCCAGGCGGAGCCGGTCAAGCCGTCCTGGAAAAACATTCCGATGATCGCCATCATGGCCAGACGGCCGTTGGCGATCTCAGCCGCCAACTTCTTCTGCTTCTCTGTTGCGTCGCTGGACGTCAGCACCTTGAAGCCGAAGTCACCCGCCGCGGCAGCGGTGCCAGCGGACTGGTCCTGGGACAGCTCGCAGAACGCACCGTACGCCACGATCTGCGCCCAGCCCGCTGCGGGAACCTTGGAGATCGCACCGAGCCCGTTCGGGATGTCCGCGAACTTCAGGCCCGCGGACGGCGACAGGTACCCGGGCAGCTTGCCGGTGATCTCTGGGGTGATGTAGCCCATGGTCGCCAGCATAGACACGCGCCCGTGCTTCAGCTCCGTCTGGCGCCGGCGGGCGAAATTCTCCGTGCTACCGTCCGCCGTGAAGCCAGCGGGGTCCCAGCGTCCCAAAAGCCCACGGGCTCCTGCAAACGCCAGCTCGCTCTCGAAGCGCGCAGCGGGGATCAGTGTAGAGCGCCCAGTGCCAACGCGGAGCCGGTCAAACGTCTGAAGAACATTCCAATGATTGCCATCATGCAAGCGACCAACCACGATCCTCAGCCGCCAACCTCCTTCAGCTTCTCCCCGGCATCAACTGACGTCAGCACCTTGAAGCCGAAGTTCGCCTGGGCGGCAGCGTGCAAGCGGACTGGGTCCTGGACAGCTCGCAGAACGCGCCGTACACCACGATCTGCGCCCAGCCCGCCGCGGGAACCTTGGAGATCGCGCCGAGCCCGTTCGGGATGTCTGCGAACTTCAGGCCAGCCGAAGGCGACAGATAGCCAGGCAGCTTGCCGGTGATTTCAGGCGTGATGTAGCCCATGGTCGCCAGCATGCTCACGCGGCCGTGCTTCAGCTCTGTCTGGCGTCGCCTGGCGAAATTCTCCGTGCTACCATCCGCCGTGAACCCCGCAGGGTCCCAGAAGCCCACCGGGTCCTGAACGCCAAGCTCGCTCTCGAACGCGCGCAGCGGGGATCCCGTGTAGAGCGCCCAGTCGCCCCAAGCGGAGCCCGTCAGACCGTCCTGGAAGAACATGCCGATGATGGCCATCATGGCAAGGCGACCGTTCGCGATCTCTGCCGCAAGCTTTTTCTGCTTCTCCGCGGGGTCGCTGGATGTAAGCACCTTGAAGCCGAAGTCGCCAGCCGCGGCAGCGGTGCCAGCGGACTGGTCCTGGGACAGCTCGCAGAACGCGCCGTACGCCACGATCT